GGAAAGAGTTTGCCTAGGAGGATCAGCCAGTGAACTTTTTGCTCCACTTCGCAAGTCAAGCTGCACAGACCAGAGTTATAAACAAGGCTTTAGTTTGCATAAGAAAAGAAATCATAATTCCTAGGAACAACAATGCCTGTCTATTTGGCTCCACACAAAGTAACCAGAGAACAAATAGAGTCAAAACTATTAGTTCCTTGGGGCATGAAGCTCCTAGTAACTGCAGTGCAGCTTAAGATCAAATATTTGGAATTTGTGAACAATAATAACAAAACTTGGAATGTGTTGTGATATTATTCAGATTATACACAAGATGCCTCATATATACATAAAATAAACAGACATGGCACATACACAAACATATGGCACATTGTTTGAATCCCAGTCTGACTAATCACTGACTGATTGCAGCATGGTCTATGCAGGAAACTCGGATGAGAAGTGTTTCGGTAAGTAGGCAGGTGAAAAAAAGGTTGTAACTTGTAAGTGAGCAATTTCATTCTAATCTCGTGGAATAACACACACATACGCACTCACACACAGATTCCAAGAACAACTTTCACAAAAAAGGAACCTATGAGAAACGCTCACAGTAAAAGCTGCTGATAAATCGACGACAATGTGATCAGGTTAGGACACTACCAGAACATTGCGACATTCTTGATGAGCAGACCCGGCAGGAGGACAAGATGTAGACTCTCGTAAATCATGCTGTCTTAGAGTCCCATCTTCACTAGAGCTCCATACAACATTGGGGTTTCCAACTTCAACCTAAATGTGGCAGAAGCCAAAATATATGATCAGCAAAAATCCAGAAAACGACTCAGATAACCCAGAAGAGATCTTACAGCTAGTTTTTTCACTCTTCGTGTGTGACATTGATACAAGGCTGACGGTGGGATAGCATTATCATCATTTGCTCTCTCGCTGAGCCGCGATAAATTAAATAATCTCACCTTTGAAAATGCAAATAAAAAGAGAGAAGACAAGAATTAGATAAAATCAGCTACACATCCAATCAACAATACAACCCCAGGGGAATTTTGTATACTTCAGCATCTCCAGCTCCAGAGACCACAAGCTCATCAGAAGTCTCAGGGACAAATTTTGTGCAAAATATGTTTGCGGAATGCCCTGTTTCTACAGAATGCAAAAGCTTACGACTAGGGTAACTCCAAATGTTAACCTGCAAAATAAATAGAATCATCTTCAATGCAAGGCAACTCTAAAGTAGCATTTCCAGAGACATTAGTGAACCTTTTTCTTAAGGAATATCATCAAAATCTTTAATAATAAATCATTCTCGACAGAGTGGATCTTGATCTACTCAGTGGACAATACACTCAAATGGTTTAGCGGAGATTGAGAATCACAATGTCTCTATATACACTCAAATGGTTCTGAACGCTTCATCCTAGACAATAACTATCAAAGGCTTAGCAACCCAAAAAGGTCTGGAAGACAAACAGACGTGAATACTAAGACTAACAGACACAGCCTCGAGAATTTCCAACATGTCATCTGATTTATACAAATAAAAGGTACATCAAAGAGCATAAGACAAGGTATGCTAATGAGTGTGAACGCACACATGTGAGTGTCTAACTGGTATGCTGATGGACAGTTCACCTACCCTTGTATCATCTGACCCAGATATCAACAATGAACCTTCAGAATTCCAAGCCAGAGCATTAACGCAACCTTGATGCCCCTGTAGTACACAATAAGCATCTTCAGCAAGTGCGAGACAAAAGGAACCAGAAGACCTACACATCAAGAGTTTCAGAAAATGCAAAAGTTTGGCATGTCAACACGCAAAAAATGCAACAAAAGAATCCATAAAATAAGCTGGATTTCCAGAGATAAGTTAACGCTATAGGAAAAGAAAACCATTGATGTATTTTCATTAATGTGAAAACACCCCATTGATATCCATAACCACTGAATATCCAATGCAGACCAGTCTCCAGCAGATATAACATCAAGAACTATTCAATTCTGCGTACTTAGATTAGCATGGGAGACGCACAAATTAGTCATTTTGAGCACCTATACATCAAACCTATTCAAGAAACCAGAATCACCACCTATACAGCATGAACAAGTACGAGTAAATCATTCGTTCACACGCACAGAGAGAGTTGGAATAGAGCGCATTTGTTAAGAAAGGACGAAACATTTGCTTTGTCACTGGTCATGTAAATAAGTGTGCCTAGTCTAGCGCGTATTACCATGTGAACGTATATTACGAATAATCAAATTGCATCAAAGTTAACAAGTGAAACAACCTCCAATTCTCTCTCCTGAGAGAGCCTCCGGATCAAGGAAGAGTGGATTTGCAGTCTTTGATCAACATCCTACACAGCCTCCAAGAAATCTCATTAGATTCCGCAAACGATAAACACATCAATCATTCAAAGTATTAAAGCAAGAAACAAGCGCACACAAATTCCGCTAAATTTCACCACCCGTAGCTAAGACAACCGGAAAATCGCAATCAAAACACTTGAGCTAAAACCCTAGAAATGAAGAAACAGTAAAGAACGAATAGATTTTCCAAGAACAACAAGGAGAGCAGAAGACGGAAGAGAAAATGGCTTACATGATTTTGTTCCACCGACCTTCTCTCGATGAGATTGTAGATATTTCCGTCGTGAAAACTCAGATTATCCATTAAAGACGGAAGAAACTTTTCGAAGATTCTTGGTGACAACGATCGCCACCGATCGTGTAATCAGGGATTCGTCTCTGCTTCTATCAGACGGTGAAATATATAAATTGGAAAAGTAAAAAAAATGAAAAAAAAAGGCTTTGCCGTCAAGACGCAAGACGCAAGACGCATTCTCTAGTCCCGGGAATTCTAAGTACTACGGCAAAGGGATGATTCGCTGCGTGCAGGTGTAACGTATCTCTGTAGTCCAAATGTATCTTAGCCGTTGATTTCAGAGGCGTACGGTTCCTAAAGCACTAAATCAACGTTCATAATGTCTTCTTAAAACAAATCGGGTGGAAAAATGACGTTAAAACTCCAAGCGAAAATGACGACATAAAAACGTTTACAAGACAGGAAAATAGCGCACATAAAATAAAAATCATGTCCTTGTGAAATTTTAAAGGATCCGCTTAAACTTTATCATATTTAGACTAATTTTTCCTAATGTAAATTTTTTTTATTCTATTACGATTTTATCATATATCAACAGTTTTTCCTATTTTACTGAAATTCAATTAAAAAATATCAAAATAAGAAGCTAGGAAATCAAAAGTAGTGTAAAATTTATGAGAAAAAAATGACTTATGTAAAGGATTCAAGGCTTCAAGCGAATCATTCGAAACGTCGAATTTGAGTACATAAAATCCAGTAAATTGAGTAAAGGATATCTCAATAAAAAAAAATATACATTTTAACGATAAAAAAATGAATCGAAACACTGCAAAATAAAAAAAAACGAATAAAAGGAAATATTTTGGACTGCTGAGTGCTGACAAAATAAAGTAAATATTTTGTTTTAAAAACAGTCAATAGTTGGGCCTAGCCCATTATAGAGGCCCATTAAATCGAATAGAAATGGTGGTAACAATATTCCTGAGCCCATAAATTCGAAATTTTATAAATACGCCGCCCTCTGATGCTGGTGTCCTTCTTCCATGAGAAAAAATGGGGGAGGGTTTTTTTACTCAAAATGACTCACTTAGTTCGCAGCTATTTCAGTGTAATTCACCGAAAAAAAAAACAAACTTTTTTTTTCAATTTTAACCTATTTTTCGATTGAAAAAGTCTGAAATACCCTTTTCTTTTTATTTTTTATAACCTTATTACGATTAACATATAACTTATATACAACTAAAATAAAACATGATTTTTTTGTCACTTTTTTTAGAATCAATTGTAACTTTTTTACCATTTTTTTTAGAATTAATTACGAAGTCGTAATAACGAAATTGTTTTCGAACAGATAAATATCGTATATTCATTAAGGGTAATTTCGTCTTTTTAAAAAAAATTAATGTGTTATGTTTTTTTTGTGGTGTACGTGTGAAATATGTGTGGCAAGTGGGTGATTTGAGTAAAAAACCATGTGATGGTGGTGTCGTTCTTCCATGAGGAAAAATGGGGGGGGGGGGAGAGATTGGATGAGTTCGTCTTGGCGTACTTGAAGAAGGAGGGATTCAAGCTTGCTGCTAAAGGTCTACAAGAAGATGTTGAGCAGAACAAGGACAAGGAAAGTGGAAGCAACAACAATGGCAGCAGTTTCAGCTCTATCGATTTCCAAGGCGATCCCGAGCTCTCCAAGCTTATCAGCTCTGTCTCCCAGTAATTTCTCTTCTTCGTGTGGATTACGTCAGGATTTTGAGACACTTAGCTGTTTTGCTGCGAAATTCACCTCTATGAGAGTAGAAGATAGATTTTTTGTTTTCTGGGCAAATGTCCATTCGAGGAGTGCCTTCTACGTGTAGGTTGGAGAATCTGTCGATCGAACACCGGTACTCAGTTATCACCGTGAAGCCCTTAGGATGCGAGGATTTAGTTCCGAAGTGTTATATCAACTTGGGCTATGTCCGCGTTATGAGTTATGTGTTGTGTCCGAATGAACTTTCTTTCCCGTGACGAGGTATTCCGAGCGAACTCTCTGTTTCCTTTCCATTCTGGAGAAATTATGGTCTTTTTCGGCCACAATTTCTCAAGAATGTTGAGATATTGCTGTCTTGTTCTTGTTTCTCTGGGTCTGCCTTTAGAGCCCACGATCATTACCCAACTATTGATGTGGAATATGGTTTCCCGAGGTTCTTTTTCTTTTTGTTGCAAGTGGTATGCCGTTATCTCTTTCTGCTCCCTTTGTGAATCGTATCATTAAATTCTCTTGTCTCTGAGGCCTTCTTGGACTCTGCCTTATTGAATTCTTCTTTCGAGGGTATTATGATTGTCCTCAGTCCTTTTTCAACAACACTAATTGAGAGCATGCTCTGGGAACTCACTTTCCAGTTTCAGGGCAAAGTATTGGACTGAATTATGTAGCTAAGATACTGAATGAGATGACTTTTTTAGCATCCCTATGGAATGAATGGTTTTCACTTATGGGTTTCTTGTTTCCAGATCAGAAGATGATCCAGCTCGGTATCGTGAGGGCTACAGCAAACTACGGTCATGGGCATATATGATTCACTGGACCTGCTGTACAAGGTTACTATTGAACTGCTTTATCATTGATTGTGGCTCATAGCCTTATTCCTAAACTCCAACGACTTGTTTTTTTTATGTGCAGCATGAATTGCACTGTGTTTGTTCGTTGATTCATAGATCTATGGGCAAAATGACATACTCAAGAGGGTACTTATCTAAATATGGTGAACCATTTTATGTACTTGTAAGATTATTAGATTACGACCTTCAGAAACAATGGCGTATGCACATTGTTGATATTTTACATTTCTAGCTAGAGCCTTCTTCAATAGTTTCCGTGAAGATAATGACATGAGATGGAGGGAACTTCAGAAGCTGGAGGGCGTGCATTCTCCGTCTCATCTGGAGGTTCGAAACCGCCTTATAGTCTCTGTACAAACTAACAATGAAGAAGATTTTCTATGAACTGCCTCGTGGCTTTGTTACTTACCAGGAAATGGATTTTGCTCGTTCTCTTAGGCAAAGCAAGGTCAACATCAAAATTTGTCAGGTAGAACCTGGTTCTTCAGATTTTACTTTAGATGCGAAATATGTCTACTAGCTGCATTGGCCAAATGCTTCAAGATTTTTTTCTTAGATTAAATGGAAATCTTGTCGTACCTTAATGTGAGGCACTAATATGTTTTTCAAAATGCCGCAGTATTCCTACGATCTTTTGCTTCAGAATCCAGCATAATGCTTGGTGTTTTCAATGAACCCATCATCAGTTTCCAAGGTAAACTGTTTAAATTTTCGATAATTTGTGATAATCTATGGCGGGCGGGGGTGCATAATTGAATCCTCGTTTTTATTGTTCTTGTCCTGTACGAACTGTAGTTTACTCTCGACAACCTTCTCCGGCATCTGTTGAAACAGGAGCTCTAACACTTATCGGGAGTTTACTGGATACGGCTAATCACACCAACCAAAAAGAAACACAGTAGGACGCCATGCCATATTCAGAAAAGAATCGTAGAAACTGGGAAGCAAGGCTCTTCAATAAACCAAAGAAAAAAAGCTGAAGAGAGACAGAGCTGCAAATGCGATGGCAGAAGTTCCCTGCATGAAAATTATGGTCGTTGATCAATAATAAACAAAAGATTATGACAATATGTAATAGCTTTTGTGCGTAAAATAGATAAAAGAAACCCTAATTATATAAAACCACCGCCATTTGAGATCAGTAAATTATGAATTATTCACATTCCCAATTCCATCCGACAAAGGAGAGATAAATGAGAGTAATAAGAGTGATTCATTTTTCCTTTGACATAAAGGACAGGTAGTTTGCATGCCGATCCATAGCCGGAAGCCGTTGTAAAAGAGCCTGACATAAGGAGAAGCTAAGTCTCAGAGTCGTTAGCTTTGCCCAGACCAATTTGGACCATGGCGCTGGTGGGGATCTGGTCCGAATCAGGTGCCAAGTGGATTTTGATGAGAACTCAAGCATATCTTGCCCAGCTCCATCCAAGCTGATCCTGGTTAAGACGACCTGAATACCCGCCGATCGAACCTCCGAGAAGTACCAGTTTCCGTCCTTAACTGCAGCCTTTACCTTCGCATATAGAGGAAGCTTTAGCAACCTTGGCCCATTATCACCCGTATTTCGATTAAAGGTCCCAATCATGTCCAGTTATTGTGCAAAATATCATCATCCCACCCATTCCCTAGCGTACATTTGATGAACGTTTTGATCTCTTATCTGAACCCAAGTAGTTTCCAGAGGTGAGAGGATTGCCTCCTGAAGATATCTATAGAGTTGGATGTGTTTGTGGGTTAAATAATAAAGAAAACACAAAGAAATAAAGATTAAACAAAGGTGGATAGAAAGAATGGTGAATGGGGACTAAGTCCCTTGTCTTCAACTTATTATTTTACATAGAATACGTTCGAAATATATAAAGGAAATGAGCAATCCTAAGATGGTCAACTATAGAAAGAATAATCAAGAGAAACTAATTACAAAAATAAGGAATAAATTGGTGCTTGATGGATATATTTCTAACGGCTAGAAGATTGACATATTGGCATGGATGTTGTCTTGATTGCTTGTCCGAGATTCACTTAGTGATTTATTTGATGAGTGGTCTTTATTTCCGTCTTGAACTCTCAATCCTATCTTGCCATATGTTTGATATTTGCTATTTGCATGGTTGATTGTCTTCGTATATGACAAAATCTTGCATATTATAATATTCCCCCTCAAGATTAGCTTGGGAGAATATCAACAAGCTAATCTTGCCAAGAGAATGTGTTGATTCGTCTTTGAATATCCAATCTCTTTCTTGTATTTCAAACTTTCAAAATATATCAAATACTCATTTATTTCCTGCAACCTCTCACAAGAATCATTAGATACTACAAGGGAGGCCATGACACTCCGGTTTTTATAAGAAATCGATTTGAAAAATGCAAAAATATGATTATCATCAAATAAGAGTAAGAAAAGACCCATAATATGTTTAAACTGAAGTTTATATGCTAACATTTGGTGGTATGAGTTATTATAAAGAGTTTCAAATATTTCTTCTCGGTTTTCATTGATATCACAAATGAATTTAGTCATACTCCTAATATCTATGAAATCATTTTCATCATACACTACAAACTCATTTTCATCGGGATCAAAAACAAAAGTATTGAAGATAAACTTACCATGCCTAGAGTTGTTGAAACTCATAGACAGTGGCAACAAGTTGTGTTCGAATGTATACTTTTCGGTAGAGAAGCATACAAGTGTATCATGCCATTCTCCCTCACTCGTGACTCGTGAGCTTCTCGACACCGTGAGGCTTCATGATTATTTGTTGGATTTTCTGATCATTAACACTAAGACAACCAAACATATCATTTGGGACACAAAAATCAAAAGATATGGGAGAAGAGAAGAAATTACAAACTCGATTGTCTCTCCATATAAAGGAGATGCTCGGATTCTTTGTTATGCTCGGATGAGGAATGATGTTGGATGAGTGTGATGCCTCTTTTTCGGGGTTCATTGCCTCCATTTTGGGGTCATTCACCATCTCATCCATCTCTTTTCCTTCTTTTTCCGAGTTTGTTCCATCCAAGTCTCGGTCCTTCTCATGATTTGTATACTTGGTTTGTATTTCTCCATCCATTGTCTCCGTATCTTTAGAGAGGTTTGCTTTGCTTTCCTTCTGTGCCTTTTGTACCATTTCAAAAAACTCATTAGTTCGAAATAATTCTTCAAGAAGAGAAATACTTAACTCTATATTGTTTGCATTGCCGTTTTGCACCAACGTCTCTCGTAGGGGCTTTGGTATTGTGGCTAAGACGTCTTCGACATCCCAATGCTCTCTGTATTCTGGTTCATCATAAACCTCTTCGTACTCCCAATTGCTATCGCAATACTCACACGTAGTGGAGATAAAGGGATAGGACAAAGGAATTCTTCTCGATTTGAAATGAAAAAATCGAGAGAGACAAGAAAAATATGGTGAATTGTGGCTTGAACGAATGACCAACGATTCACTTGAAGAAAGCTCTTCTTTTGGTTTGAATGGATGACCAAAAGGGAGAAAAAAAAATTCTGAAAAATGAAACGAGCAGGCTCCTCTTCGGTATACCCACAACCGAGAGGGAATATGTTTCGATTTCACAGCGGAATGAAAAACACAAGATCCTCTAGATCTTATACTCTGATACCATGAAGATATCTATAGATTTGGATGTGTTTGTGGGTTAAATAATAAAGAAAACACAAAGAAATAAAGATTAAACAAAGGTGGATAGAAAGAATGGTGAATGGGGACATGGCCTATATTTTTTAGGCCCATGTCCTTATTATTTTCGGGCAGATTCGGAACGGGTTTCGGGCTCCGGGCTTAATTGATCCCTACCCTAAACAACCTGTTTTAGCCAAATCCCAACTATTCAGATCTAACCGGTCAAAGTACCAGACTCTATGACTTAAAGCAGGTAATGAGGAGTCTTATCTAGCCAACTAGATAATAGCTAAGTCTACAACCAAATTCTGAATCTGATCAGACCTAGACTTTGTCAATAGACTCAATACATACACTTTAAACTTCTAATAAGACTTAACCAAGCCTAAAAAGACCTAATTGACTTCTGATCAGACTTAGATGACACTAGACTTACCCAAGCTGACTTAAAGACATACATGATCAAGACCTAAATAGCAATTACATACCTATAATGGCCTAAACCAGTCTCCCTAGACTTTTTCTTGCCTATCTTTGGTCTAAACCACCTCTAGTGTCAACTAAATTAGACAAGTCCAACCTATTTAGGCCTAAACTGGACTTTATGAACCTAATTAGCTAATCAGAGATCTATAACAGGTCTAACCTAGTGTATACTGATCACTACAGACTCTAAACTACCCTAAACCAGTCGAACATGCCCTAAACCAGACATCATCAGACCTAATTGGACTAACCGAACCCTAAACCAGGAAATTCTAGTCCTAACCGGATACTCCAGACCCTAAACCGATCCAATCTAGTCCTAAACCATGAACTCAGACCCTAACCCGATCAATACTAGTCCTAAACATATAAACCAGACCTTACTCAGACTTATTTCAACCTATACCGATCTAAATTTACCTAAACCCGGACCCAATTGACCTAAACAGGACAACTCTAGCCCTAATTGGACAAACAGACCCTACATTAGACCTATACCATCCTAAACTAGTCTAAATTGTCCTATACCACACTCAATTGACCTAAACTGGTCTGAATTAGATAAAACCGAACAAACCAGACCTTTAATCAAACCTAAATCGGTCTGAACCGATCTAAATTGGCCTAAACCGGGCCTAAATTGATCTGAACCGGTCTAAATCGGTCTAATTGACCCCAAACCAGACATGAACCGGTCCGATTTGACCCTGGTCAACTATTGCCTAAATTGGTCAACTAATTGACCGAACCGAAGTTAACCGATCTGAACCAGCAAAACCAGGTCGAGCCCGATCTGACCGCCGAGAATCGAAACTGGATCGAATCAAACTAGGTTTGATTGACCCAAACCAGATTAAATCGAGAATTAGATCGATTAAACTGGTGTGAACCTCCGAAATCCTAATTTCGGAGAAACCTTAGCCACTGAGTCGACCGAGTTGCCTCGGTTATTGACTCACCCAATCCCTCCACTCAGCACTGACTCGGACGAGTCCAGACCGAGTTTCGCCGGAATCAGATCTTTCCCCCCGAGTTACGACGAGTTTCTTTTGAAACTCGGACTCTATTCAGAGAAATCGCGGAAAATAAAGAAAACTGAGTCAGAAAACCTACTGACTCACCGAGTTCGAATCAGTCTTCACCGATTTTCGATCTCTGATGCATTACCTCGATGGATCTCTCCACCGACGACCCCGAGACTGTTAGATCTGCCACATATCATCGCCGATCTGGTTCCGGTATCGACTGAAACACCCACCAGAAAGATCACAACGCTCAAATACGCAAGATTCGAACCGAAATACCTTACCTCGCCTTTGCCGGCGAATCTTACCTCCCTGGATCGTAACCGGAGCTCTGATACCACTTTGTGAAAGTGGAACCGAACCCTCGCCACTCTCTCCGACGCTCGTCCGTGCAAGAAAAGAAAGAAGACGCAGATTTTAATGAGTTCGGTTACCGCGCAAGCTCGGACCTACATCTCGGTCGGACAGTGTCGGCGAATCCACTAAAGAATCGAGGAAAGAACCAATAGATACAACACGGTCGGCGGTGCTTCACAAGTCCGAAGACTCACCGATGAACCAGTCTGAAAAACAACCGAGAAAGACGACATACGCTGCGCCTTACCAACCTCGACTCACTTACCTTGAGTCACCGCCGATCCTGAGCTCCACCGACGCTGGGAAGCTCCTCCGTCGTCGTAGACCTCTCTTTCTCCCGTTCTTTCTGTCACTCTCCCTCCTTTTCGAGCCATGTGCACGTCTCTTCTCGAAGATTCAGAACATTAGGGTATTAACTCTAACTAACCCAAAACGCGTCGTTTTCGATCAATGGGCCAAATTCCTTTTCCGCCAAATGGGCCGGCAGGCCCAACACCAAGGATTAGGCAAGGGACCACACTATATGCATACTATATATAATGTCTTAATAATTTACTAATTTGAATTACCAATTGTTCTATATTCTATGTATATATGTGCAAATACATATGTGTACTTGTCTCTAATTTGGCGGCAATTGCTCCTCATTCCCCGAACCTGAAGCAACAACTGTCATGGTATATATGTAATAATTGGTATTAATAAACTTCTAGCATATTCATCGTATATATCTATCTCGTTAACTATCTAATATTCATCACCCTATAATAAATTGGTCAATATACTAAACACAAGGAAATGTATGCATGCATATCTACATGTATGCTTATCGCAACCATAGTGACAAGAATGCATTATAAAAATCCCATGAAATTATACTACACAAACTTTACTAACGATCCACATATCAACTAAATTAGCAAATTTTATCAATAGATCAAAACATAGACACACTACACACTATATATAACATGTCTATATACATACATATTCATTAATGACAAAATCTTAATACGACTGTGGGCAAGTCCACATATATAATGTGTATATACCATCAAGTGTCTACAAATATCACACACACAAAAAATCTAGCATCGTGAAGGAGTAAAAGTCTCAATGGTCTTCATAAAAGTCAACTACATTAGCAACAGTAGTTAAAAAAAACATATAGACTATATACCAATATACGTACGTGCGAGTGTATGCATAGAATTAAAAACACGAAAGGAGGAAAATCCTCGGGGGAGAAGATGTGACAGAAAGAGAAGCGAGCACCCAAAAGCAGCAGTATACAGATTATACAACTTCCCTCTGTGTGCTCGCTCTCTTCTGTCAACTTCTTTGTCCCTGACTATGCATACATCGAGATATGTGTGTGCATATATATATATATATATATATATATATATGTGTGTACATATAGAAATTAACACGCACGGTATACATATATACATGTATAAATTAAATATCATAGCCACAAAGATGGACCAAAAAAAAACCCAAAAACCAAGATAAACAAGATCTGCAAAGCTTCACCACCGTCTATGAAATGTTTGAAAATAAATAAAACATCACACATGCATATAAATCTAAGTGTGCAATGTACGAAAACACCTAGAGGACGCACATGTGTATCGGTTTATAACCATGAAATTCGGGTTCAGAAAAACCAAAAACGAAAGCACAAAACCAGAAGTACAGGAAAAATGTACTGGAGATCAGATTTGAGAAAAGAAGACGAGATCTATTTAAGGAAAGTAGCTTGTAAAACCCTAGTTACTGTACGGAGATCCAGAGAGAACGAAAAGCGGGTTAGGGTTTGTGGTTTTCAACTTCAGATTTTGAGAAAAGTAAAAAAAAATTAAAACCCAAAAACCCGAACATAGAGATAAAAACAGAACTGAAATAGTAAAAGAGAAAAGCCTCAATCTTTCTTCCCCTTCGTCTTCCCAGTTTAGTTGTTTCTCTCTCTATCATGCAAACCAAACAGGTGTCCGCCGAGTCCCTTCTCTCTCTAGAACAAAGGGAAATCGACATGATTGATAGAAAAATAAATAAAACCCTTGTAAAAATCAAGTCCAAAAAGTCGATAATCAGATCAGAATTGCTCCGACTCCGAGAATGTGAAATCATTGTCGGGAAAAAACAAATGAATAGAAACTGAAGAGAGAAAGGGGAAAAGAGGTGTTTGGCATCCAGACGTGTGGTAGAGATTTTTCCGAGAAGGACACGTGCCAGAATCTTATGCAACTACCTGTGTGATGGAGTTTTGATCGTCGATTTGACATGAGCTGCATTGTCAGCCGTCAGATGTGTCATGTTTTCAGTTCCCCCTGCGGGCTTATCTGAGATAAGTTTATCTCTACAGATTGCGTCACTAAGGAGACATAATCCCTATTTCACACCTCTTTTTTCATATATTTTTTTTTTGATAATCGGGTGATTCCAAACCTAAAGGTCCAGACTAATCCCGATCCACGCGTACGATCCTACAATACACACGTAGGATGTAAAACACCCGAAAGTGGCAGGAGAGGAATCTCCATATTCTGGGTATTGAAGTTGAACCTACGTCCTCGTTTAGAGGAAGAGACTCTCAAACCAACAGAGCTGAAGATTCTCCTTCTTTTTTTATATATTATTTTGTTTTGTGTAATTATTACATCAAATGATGTTTTAGAGTAACGTACAATCTTTTACCCGTGCGAAATGTGTGAATATCATTGAATATATCTATATTAATACAGGATAACATGAACCAAGTATATATAGTCTATATATACTTGGTTCATGTTATCCTGTATTTTCTTTTTGTATAACTAAAACCGGAAAAGCCTGCAAAGACAATTTCTTCATATGCATGATATATATAATGTAACGTAAATTTTAGATATTTGGATCAATCTGTGTAATCTCAAATAAATCATTCGCACTAAAATATAATGATCGACTCACGATTAATGTAAATTATAATAGAAAATTTAATAAATATTATCAATTTTAAAAATATTTGTAAACGTTAATGGGGTTTGTTTTGGGATTTTTTTATATTTTAATTAGACAGACTTGCAAGTTGCACCAAGGGACCGTCTGTCCTGTCCGTTCAACCCATTCTACATAATAATATCAAATCAAATGTCTTTTTTTTATATATTTTTTTATTATGATTCAACCAAATTAAATGTTTTATTGAATCGTCCTCTTCAATTTAATTATCTGGTCTGTTTTGCCCGTACGTTCTCCGTTCATAATTATTTAATTATTATCTGGCATGCATAAAACTTAATTATTTAATTCTTTTTCGATATCGCATCATTTTTAACCATATATATGTAATATATCTAATGAATGACTATTATACAGTTGGATATATATATTCATTCATAAAACGTGCAGATTAATAGATCTAAAGTGTAGTTTTCAATAGGATGTCAAAATGAGCCGTTCCATATTGTCCCGATCTGAACCAAAAAAATTTGACCCCGAATAAAAATGGACCGAACGAATCAGCTCATTACGAGTCGAGCTCATCCGAACCAGCTTGACAAGCGCACAAGCTAGCTCGCCAGTCAGAATTTTTTTTAAATAGTTTTTTAATAATTTTAAAAAAGATTTATCAATTTTAAATAATTTTTATTATTTTAAAATATATTAATAATTATTTTAATTATTATTTTAATATTTTGAAATTATATTTAATATTTTTAATTTTTAATTTTATTTTTAGTCGGTTCGCGAGCCGGATCGCAAGTTAGAACTATTTGGACCGAGTCAGGAATTTTTTGGTCCGAAAAAAAACGTACTTAACGAATTGGACTGAAAACGAGTTGGCTCGCAGACGAACTGGTTCGAACTCTGTGCAGATTAATATTGATTCGTAAAATGTATTTAAATTATATGAATTACGTGCATATAATAGATCTAAAGTGTAATTTTGCATTAGTATCGAAAGTTCTGGCAATATGGTAATTGCAATTATTGATAAAGGAGCACAAGAACAGTTAAATAAATATTTCATGACATAACGGCGGGGACGATGTGGAATTATTTTACAGCCACAATTTTTTTTGTCAGTTTATATCTATTTTACAGCCACATAAGGGAGGGCTGTTCCTTCAGGAGAAAGGGAGATTGAGATTCGAATTCGACCAACAGTCTTTCCTCAGATGTTGCTGTCGATGTGGGTTTTGTCTAAGTCTAAGATATGGGATGAATCAGATGTTTTTTGTTTGGGATTTCTTTCTTGCTAAGCACTAATGTCTCTCTGATTTTGAACCATACATTTCTACTTCGAAGTTCTTTTATCTTTTGATTCTCCTGATGCAACAGAATCGGATTTTATTTGAATATCGGAGTCGTAAATTGCTCGTTTCGGATTTTTATGGCGATTTTCCCTTGTTTTAATTTTAAATTGACAAACTTTTATTTGTTTTTTAAAAATGGTGATTTTAAAATAAAAATTCATTTTACCACAAAGAGGTTCGAAATTTATCATTTTACAGCCACAATTTTCCGAGTCATTTTACAGCCACATTTTTTTGTGTGTCACTTTATATCTCTTGTTTTAATTTTAAAATTGACAAACTTTGACTTTTTACAAGTGATGATTTAGAAAGAAAGAAAAAACGTTTATGGTTAATTAATTCGCAATCCAAGATCTTTGGCGTGTACTGATAATGACGTTGTTGATTAACGCTTGAATTATATAATTAGCATTGAGCAATTATCGGTAAAACAGCAGTATCGATGATGCTGTTGCTAATGGGCCGAAACCCCAACTGGATATATAAACACTACTGATGATGGCCCAAAGCCCTATATTAAAGCACAATATGCCATATCTATAATCCTGCTCGTAACATTTCTCGGATCAATCACAAAGTCCTCTTTTGTAGCTCTTTTAAACAATCATCATCATAATCTAGTCACAATTATTTTATTTTTGTAATTAATGATGTTGAATAATGCTTCTACTTCGGCTCTCAAAACATTCCTAGATACCGAAGAGCTAAATCCGAATATTATTGGGCCTCTATGGCCCATAACCTCGTGTGAGGCCCAATTTGCTTTTTATTAATACGAAAAATAATATGTTCGCTTCTTTTTTCCAATTAAAAAAGAAACAACAAATATAGTAAGATTAAGGTGGCGACTGGTTGCACCGCCGCTATCCGCAAACGGAGCGGTTGCGATTTTTGACGGTTGCAAGCGATTAAAAAACTGACTGGTTGAACCGCAACTGCAACCAAACTTGTGTTTTCTAATCGCAGCTTCTAACTTGCGTTTTGGTAGCGGTTTTCGACGTTTTGACAAAAAAACTAAAATGTCGTCATTCAAAATTATATAAAACTCTAATATATATATATATTGATGATGATTTTGTTTAGTGTTATGATTTGATATTATTTTTTAGTATTATATTGTAATAAAAAAATATATAATAGTATACTTTTTAGATTTAATAATTATTATTTTTAATAATTTTTATAATAAAATTATTTTTTATTTAAAAATAAATTAAATTGATAATATTTATATTTAAAATTTATTATTTAATTATTTTAAATTTAGTAAATAATTTTTATCAGATGATACTAAAAATTAAATTAAAATTATTATAAAAAAATTATTTTAAAATAATATTTTTTTTATAATTTAAATCAAAACGCAACGGCAACCGCAACGAACCATTCACTTCTAACCGCACCCACCTGCAATCGCTGCCAACAACAACTTATCAATCAGTCAGTACTTATCATTCATAATCGCTGTCAAACGCTCTGAAAACGCCGTCACCCGCAATTTTTTTA